GTCAAATGACTAGAAACTAGGAAACATGACTATGACAAAACTTCAAAATAAAGAACATGAACACAAACAAAACCCAAAACCAACAGTGACATATCCCCCTCCCACCCCCCTCTATGGGCGGCTCCAGACGCCCAAACAAAACCCGAAACCCATAAAGTTCAGGAGGGTGGTGGAGTTGAGGTGGTCCAGGGGGAGGAATGGAGGGCCAGGTCCGGGAAGGGGGACAGGACCAGGACCAAGGCAAAAAATTGGTGGGCCGTAGAGCTGTGGCGGATTTGGGTCATGGAGCATGGGTGGATCTGGGCAGTGGATCATGGGCGGATCTGGGCCGTGGAGCAGGGGAGGACCTGGGCCGTGGAGCAATGGCAGGCTAGAACGACGGAACAGAGGGCCGTGCTGCAGTGGTGGACCTGGGCTGTGGAGCACTGGCTGACCTGGACCATGGAGCAGTGGCGGGCCTGGGTTGTGGAGCAATGGCGGGCTAGATCCATGGAACAGAGGGCTGTTGTGCAGTGGGGGACCTGGGCTGTGGAGCACTGGAGGGCCAAGCTCCGCATCCACATCCACATCTGCTGGAGCTTGGTACCTATAGCCCCCCCCCCCCCCAGGCTCTGGCGTGGTGGCCACTTGCTTACATATAAATCTGTATAGACCGATGTGGCGAGCAGGATGAGGCCGAGGGCTGTGAGAGAACTGAGGCACCGGGCGGAAGCATAAAAGGAGGAGCGACGACCGTGAAGGACGAGAGAGGACCAGGCCTGGACTATTTTCTTTGCTGTGTTGTTTTATTATGTGTGGGGGCAGTCGACCGTGAGGGGCTGCCGTCTTTTTCTTCCCGCCTCCTTTAGGTTCGCCGGCGCGTTTTGCTGTTTTTTTTTCATATAGCAGCAACATAGACTTAAAATATTCCGTCATTTATGGTCATATAAATAAAACATATATACTATTTATTTCCTTAATTTTGTATATGTTGTCAACGCAGTGCAGCAGCTAGCAGACCTAGAGCGGGCATTCTAGCGCGCTCATAGACTGCCCTGCGGGAACTGCACAGCCTACCATAATAAAAAATATACATGATTATAAACTATAGAGGGTCTTCTTTTTTTGTGTACACTCACATTAACATCAAAACCTTGTGTTTTTTTTTAAATAAATAAAATAAACAGGGTGCGCTTTCAGCTCACTCTGTCTCCGCAAAAATCTTTCTGAAACATGTCTGGAAAATGAACTGAAACTCAGCTAATACTTATCACACAAACATGAAACATACGTCTAAAGAACGCTTTAAATATCTACTTTTAAATAAAACAATTCACATTTAAAACAAATATTCTCCTGCAATGTAATCTGTATGAAACTAAAGAGAAGTACAGTTTCTCCTGTCTCAGCTCATTATCGTTAATTTGTTCACACCCACTCGCAGAGCGCTCTATTCATAAGATAATGTGTTGAGGCCATATGCAAAATAGATAAACGCACCCAGGCAAATGCTGTAAACTCTGTAAACACACTATATTTTTTAGTCAGATTAAGATTCGTCTATGAGGAATAATCCTGGGACATTTACCACAGAACAAGTGCTGGTTTCACTTCGAGGAGGAGCAACAGATTCAGCTGAGAACTGTAAGTGTTTTATGATTGTGCTTTGTTCTAATCGCGATATAGAATAATGTTAGTGTCTGTAAACGGAAAAATAGCATACTGTTTAAATGTGAATCATGTTTCTGTGTGTATGTGTGTGTGTGTGTGTGTGTGTGTGTGTGTGTGAATGAATGAATGAATGAACGCACAGATACGCACTTACAGACGAAATAAAAGACAACATTTCGTTGACTAGTTTTGGATAAAGTTTTTCAAATCAAATAAGCATCAAATAAGCTTCAAATAAGCTTCAAAATAAAGACATCAAATAAGCTTTTGTTAGGAGTTTCTGCTCATATGTTAAATATATAGTATGTTTTGTCAATAAACTAATCAACTAAGATGTTTGTTCCAATGCAAGCTATATCAAAATAATGAATCCTCAACTTTGAAATATGTATGATCAAACTAAGACATTTATGGAAAAAGACAATTTTATTTTCAATTTGTTTCCAACTCTAACTTTGAACTGAAATAAAACCATGTCTATATGATGAAGGGTGTGTGATAGAAGTGTCCAGACGTATGCACCCTGTATTTTAAAGAAGAACATTTAATTATTTGCGATACATTATTCATTCACAAAGAATTCAGGGACATTATTCATGTCCCTAAAGGTTTTCCTCATTTTTTAAATTAAGGCATTAAGATTTTTTATTCCTCTTTTTAGTCAACTTTAGCATGAGTGTGTTCACTAATTCTAAGCAGTGTGTGTGTGTGTGTGTGTGTGTGTGTATATATAATTAAAAAGCAATTTTAACCAGAAAAATCTACAATGCATGCCCAAAGTCGTGCAGCCATATAGTTTCTCTTGATATCAGCATGTTCACAGGTATTTTTTTTTTTTATAGGGACAAGAAATGAAAAATCAAACACCTTGGAAATGACAGGTATGTACTATGTTTCAGGAATGGGACAATGCTGTGTGACTGTGCAAGCCTCTGTCTTTAGATCAGTGTGTTTACTAATGTGCTTTTTTGTCCTTTGTTGTGTATCTTTGGATTATGTTGTGTTGTAAATAAATCCAAACAATCTAAAAGCCATTCTTTTTTAAATATCCTCATTCTTTGTGCAAGGCTCCTCATAATGATATGGCCTGATAGCACCTAATAGGGCCATTATGGGAGGGTCTTTGTCTTTCTCAGGTGTGAAATGCCATACATATTAATGAGAGATCACGCCTCCTCGCATAAAGCTTTCTCAAACAAAACACGTCATACACATTCTAAAAGACTTTATTGACTTATCTGAATGAGTAGTCAGGATGATTCTCACATAGTTTTGGAGCAAATATTCTAGGCTATGTGATACAATTTCTCAAAAGTCTTGTGAAGAAATAATCAATATGTGTTTTGTAATATTTTTAAGTTTTTAAATAACCATGCATAAATAATATTCTCTCAAAAATACAAACTTGTACATACATGTTGCTCACATATTATGGTAGCCCTGTTTGTGCTATATAGAGTGAATTTACACCTTTGCCATTAACATGTTTATAAATAACTGAAAAAAGTACAAATGTCAGTGCATGTCAAAACATCCCAAGGGCCCCAAAAACCCCTTGGGATGTTTTAACATGTTTATAAATAACTGAAAAAAGTACAAATGTCAGTGCATGTCAAAACATCCCAAAGGTCCCCAAAAACCCCTTGGTCCCCAGAGGGTTAAACGTGAATACATCTATGAAAGATTATATTACTGTATGTGTACAAATAGAATCACAATCCTGGAAAACACCTTTCAGTGACTCAAAATAATCAAGAACTAATTGTTTCTGGTATACAGAAGAAGCCAATGATCAGTTGCACATTGCAAATGCATCTTATATCAAAGCACAATGAACACATGCATGCTGCTCCTTCACTACTTGTATACTGCAAATGAATAATGTGTGAGGTGGGTGTAAAACATATTTCTGCAGGTTTATGTTCAGTGAATGTCTCAGGAAAAAGGCAGTGAGACTTAACTCCCTTTCAATGCAATGGAAGATTCGCTTCTTTCATTAAAATGCATACACAACTGTCCAATAGAGACTGTGGTGGGTTAAGAGCTCCGCTCAGCTTTCAGACAAACCAATTCAGTTTAACGGTTTTATTGCCTGCATCAGCAGTCCCAAAATGTCTGTTTGGAGACATGTTACACCACACAGCAAATCTCTCTCTTTTTTTTTTTTCTCAGAGATAAAGCTGCCCACTGCTCTTGCTCTTTTTCCTTCTTTTTCTGTATCTTCCTACTATCCTCCTCTGTGTATCAATATTGAATATTTTGTGTGATCTTCTGGATAGTTCAATATGTCAGCGAGCTCTTTCAGGTCATGCCCCCCTTGGGCCCTACCTCAGCAAATAATATATTGAAGACGGTACAAATGAAGAGGCTGGTGTGTGGACTTTGGTACACTGTTGTATGCTGTTTTTGCACTGGATTCTCCTGTGGGGGTTCATGAACAGACTTTCTGAGACACTGAAAGAAGTCTGAGACATTGTGCCTGTTCAAGTCTGGTTCCTCTGAAAGTTAACAAGAGGACACACATATGAAGGGCGTCCACAGAGAGAGCCTTCCTATAGAATCCTGAAGGGAAATGAAAGGCAGTAGCAAATAAACCTACTGTACAGAATGTTTTATTTTTAATTGAGGGAAAATTTAAATGGATTTTAAGGGATCTATTCAACACATTTTCATTTATCGATGTCACATAGGATTTAGTGATATTATGTGCCAACAACATTTCTAGTCACATACTGTACAATATCACATATACTGTATACTGTATATTGTTTTTAAAAAAAGTAGTGAGCAGTATAGGTAAAGAGTGGGGTAAGACATGCCAATGAGTAAATTTTGTTTTGCCCCTTTATCTAGAAAACTAGGCAGCAATATTTGTGTCAGCATTACCATATTTTCGGGACTATAAGTCGCTCCGGAGTATAAGTCGCATCAGTCAAAAAATGCATCATGAAGAGGAAAAAAACGTATATAAGTCGCACTCGACTATAAATTGCATTTATTTAGAGATTTATTTCACAAAATCCAAGACCAAGAACAGACATGTAATCTGGAAAGGCAAGTTATTCAACTACACAATAGCACACAGATAAACAGGCTGAATAGGTGTCCGGTATGTTAACGTAACACATTAATGCGACGAACAACCGTATAAGTCCAAAAAAACAAAAATTGAGATAACCATGTGACTTGAATGTATGTGTGCCACTTTGTATACAGAATCACTTTGGGGGTGTGTTCGCGCGACCAAAACTCTGTATTTTAAATTTTAAAATAGTCTCACGCGGAAAAACCGTTTATGTCCACTAACGAAAAATGGAGACGCCGGTTGCTTTCATGTAAAACCTCGGCAAAAAAAGGAGAGCGAACATGAATGAATGGAAGGACAGAGCAAGGAAGTCTTTGAGGGATGCTGGGAAACCATATGTGAACCGGAGAGGAGAGCAAAAACGAGGAAAAAGTCCACCGAAAGAGGTGAGTGAAAGAACCGTATACAAAGTATCTAACTTAGCAGCTACTGTTACAGTCAGAGGGGCGTGTAGGCTCCTGCGCGTCGTCTAACGTTACTACAGTTCATTCATATAGCTCACTCTGTTTAACGGATCAATTCATGAATGGGTCGAAATTAATGCTGTAGGCTACTACTCCTTATAACCGAGGATAAATGAATCGAAACATTATAGCTGCGTTTGATGTCTGGCTAGCCAGTTACTTGTTAACGTAGCTGGTTACAGTCAGGGGGCATATTACTGGGCGTCTAACGTTACTAATGTTCATACAGCTCTGACTGTTTAGCGAATCAAGTCATGAATGGGTCGAAATGAAAGCTGAGAAAATTAGACTTTGATTGCTTTATGTCTCTGAAATAAAAAAGTCATTGACGTGTTTAAAATATTTTGATATACTTTTTGGATCCCATGTTACCATTTATGCAACACATTGTTTTGTGATATTGTATGCTATATTTGTTTGTTACTCATTTTTTAATAAATAAAAGGTAATAATAAAAAAATGCATTGATTGTGTAAGCTGTTACGTTATATATTATAGGTAGTAACCTTAATAGCTGCTAATAGCTCTAGTGTTCTATAGCTATATGTAACAAAAAAAACTCTAATGTGACTTTGTTTTTGTTAAGGGCAAGGTGTGCAAGGAGACGTGTCCCAGGCAGTGTTCAAGCCTAACAGAACAAAGAAAACTCCAGCTCTTCACAGAGTTTTATGCTGTCTCTTATGAGAGGCAGCAGGCTATCATTCTCTCTGGTTTGGAGCAGGTAGGCTAACTTAAGCAATTCATGACCATATCATGTCAACAGTATGCAATGCATCACAATGTAGGCCCATGAAATAACCAGTGAATTGAATACTACTGTATGCCTTCAATTCACTAAGACTGCACATGTGCCTGATCACTGTAAATGTTAAATTTTGTGAGGATGGATGAAGGATGATCAGCATCAAGTAGGCCACCAAGTGCATTACAGTCAGACCACAGCGCTTTGGTGCCCTAAAATGCTTATTCATTCTCCTAACCAAAGCCTACTCACGTACTTAATGACCTTAACCTGACAGCTCTACAATACGGCTAGCCTGCTACGCTATGGTAAATGTCTTTTTACTTCATGTCTTTTTACTTCTAGCACAAGGTGAGTCGCAGACGACCACGTGGGCCTGACACTGAGATTACTAAGAGGAAGTACACCTTCAAGTACCATGTGCAACAAGGAGGCCAAAGACTTGCTGTTTGTAAACTCACATTTATGTCAGTCTTTCAACTGACCAACAGTCGCCTACTGTAACAGGCAAGTTTTATATAGCCTAGCCTTTTCCGTTTGTTAACTTTTTATTACATGCATGATTTTAATTAGATACATTGTCCATAACATATTTATTTAAAGTTACTTATCTTTGAAAAGGTTATTCAAGAAAAGTTAGGCAGTCAGTCTGAGGGAACAGAGCAGGTAGCTAAAGTCAGGTCTCCATTAGAGGACTTCAGAGGAAAACATAAGAACAGGTAAGTAAAAAAAAACAAATCTTGAAGGACCTCATGCTCTCGTCCTGTTAGTTTTTAAAGCTGCACCATTGTCACACCTACAACATTCTCTGGTCTAATGGTGCACTGGACGCTGGCATTATAGAGCGTTGGGTGCCTTGCCACCCTATAACGCCAGTGTGCACATACCGTAATGGTTAGGATTCAGCTCACTGTTGTTGCCCAGTCAGGAAACATATTTTTGCACTTTGAAATCGATATCAGAGATAAAGTGCTATGCAAATGTAATGTATGATTATTCTTTGTATCATTACAACATGTGGATCTTAAAGGGATACTTCAGCTCTGGAAAGATTAATGTGTATTTAAAATGGGTCATTTATGTAGTAGAAATGTGAAATTATTTTTGAATGGAGCCTTCTAAAAGCCAGAAAATGCATTTTTGATTTATGGGGATGAAAGACAACAACTCCCAGATTGCAATGCTAAAATGCACACATCAATCAATCACATGTTTAGCATCCATGTAAACACTACATTCAGATTCACAAATCGGAATAAATTCAGTTAGATTGAAACAAAAGATGTGCATGTAAACAATGACAATTTTTGCGTCATCGGAGGATTTTTCCCAGACAAAAAATACATAAATCTCTCATCTCAGGGGGATATGAGGGAGAAAAGCATTGTAATTCGAAAATACTAAAAAGAATTCGGTTTTCTAATGATACAAAGCTTAATGCTAAATCTTGAAGTATCCCTTTAATGACTGTATGTGAAAAACAAAATCCTATAGTTTAGAGGAATGTTTATAATTATACATTTATGGTCACAGAAACAATGCAATTGTGCAAAACAGACCAGCATAGTTTATTATATTTCCCTTGTTCATGAGTTGTGGTGTTTATTTTTTAGGCCTCATAGCATTCATCCTGCAGTGAGAGAGGGTATAAGAGAGCATATCTTGAGCTTCCCACGCCAACCGAACCACTACTCACGGATGAAGGGAGATGTGGAGAGGGAGTACCTGAGCCCTGATTTAAACCTGCTCCGCATGTTCCGCCTGTACAAGGAACACAATCCAACATCCACTGCAAAGTTCTGGCTCTATAGGGACATCTTCAAGCAGCAGAACCTCAGTTTTGGGCAGCCAAGAAGTGACACTTGTGCGAAATGTGACGCCCTGTTTTTAAAATTAACAGCTGCTACAACAGAAGGAGAAAGGTTGAAGATCGCAGCCGAGAGTGAGCTTCACCACCGGAAAGCTGAAAAAGCGTACACCCAGTTGCAGGCTGACACAGAGTGGGCCAAAGCCAATGATGACTGCCATGTCATTTGTATCGACATGCAGGGGGTAGTGTTCACGCCAAACCTGACACACTCCAACGTGTACTATCAACGGCAGCTGGCCAACTACAACCTCTGTATCCAGGAGATGGGCACTGACGATCCTCCTACAATGTGCCTCTGGCATGAGGGCATCGCTCACAGAGGTTCCATCGAGGTGGCAAGCTGTCTTTTGAAGTGGGCAGAAACATCTTTTGCTCCCCTAGTCCAGGCAAAGGAACGGAAGCTCGTCATCTATAGTGACCGATGCTGTGGGCAGAACAACAACTGGCGAGTCCTAAACCTCATGGCCCTGCTCGTATCTAGAAGGTACTTCAGTCAGATAGAGCAGAAGTTCATGGTGTCTGGTCACTCCTTCCTTCCCTGTGACCGTTCCTTTGCCACGCTGGACAAGAGGCGTAAGGTGTCCACACTCCACACCCCCAGCGATGTCGCCGAGATGATCCGTGGAGCCAGGCAGCAGCATCCATTCAAAGTCATTGAGATGAAATGTCCGGACTTCAGGCAGCTCCCTGATGCAACATTAAAGCGTCCACCTGGCTTGCTAATCACATCCATGATGTGGTTGAAAGTGACAGGTAAAAAACAAAAGAGTAGGTCTTCTGAGATTAACAGTGTTGGGGATATGTGCGTGAAAGAAGAATCTTTATTGAATTTCTTGTTGAATCATGATTTCAGCTGCTGATCCATGGTGTGTCCACACAAAAGGGAGCCACAGCCTCTACGAGGGATGGAAGACCTGGCTGATCACCAAACAGAGGAAGAATCAACCACCTCCAGCTCCCTTGTTCTCCACCACGTATGCTCGTGCTTATGAGGACCCTCTGCCCGTCAAGAAGGAGAAGCACCGGGATCTTATGAAAATGCTAGCCTACATGCCACCGGAGGCCCAAGCATTTTATGGGGCATTAGAATGCGAAGAGTAGCCTGGTATGTGTAGGTCATGTGCAGGGTAAGGTGGGGTATATTGTGTATATTGTGTAAAATTAATCATAATAGTAGTTGTAGTTTATCTTGTATGCCTTATATTATGTTGTATAATAGGAATATATAGTTATTTATTTAGTAAATGAATGAATGGGGTGATTTATGAAATGTATTATAAAATGGTAAACTAGCATATGGAACCATAGCAAGGAATGATGATGATGTATGTCTGTATTGTAAATATGTATTGTTTACAGTTATTACTGTTGTTTATTGTTTGTATGTATTGTTGATTGTATGTACGGTTTATTGTTTGTAATGACGTTTATTTTCTGTACTATAAGTAGGCCTATGTATTGTTCATTGTTCGTACTGTATTGTCTGTGTTTTTGTTCTGTGATTTATGTTGGTAAAAAAATTAAAGAAATTGAAAGAAAGAAATGTTTAATATTTTCTTTAAGGTTCTGTCACTGTATTAAAACTAAGATAAAGGAATCAAATCTCCAGTGGTTTAAGTGATATGATGAATTGGACTTATACTGTTATTCCACATTAACTGGACTTATACTGTTCTTCCACATTCCAGAAATGTAAATTACTCTAACTTTTTATTTTTAAGATTGATACTAAAAAATCTTATCTCATTAGAATTGTGAAACTTTTGTTGTCTATCTTCAAGTAAAAAAAAAAATATATATATAATATTCAGAGTCCAAATTAAAAAAATGTCATTATTCAAAATTTGAAAATATGGACTTATATGGTTCTTCGTCTCAAGCCCTCAGTTATTCAGCTACACAATAGCATAAAGAACATATACCTGGGAGGCTGAATAGGCTAAATTAAGTCCAACAAGCAAGTTACCGGTAAACAAGTTCACCAAGCTCCCGCGATCTCATTCCACATCACTAAATCTATTGAATTCTTCATCCTCGGTGTCGCTTCTGAACAACTCCGCCAACTAGAGCGCCCTCTCGTGGCTGTAGATGATACTGTTTTCTCTTGGTTCATCTCAGTCTGAATTAATGTTGATATATAAGTCGCACCTGACTATAAGTCGCAGGACCAGCCAAACTATGAAAAAAAGTGCGACTTATAGTCCGCAAAATACGGTATGTTTATATTTTTATTTGATTCTATTGTGTGCCATTATGTCTATTGAGTTGACTCACACGATTTATGTTTTGTGCTGCAGTACTTTGGTTAATTGAACATAGTATAAACATTGATGCTCCCTGGTTTTCACTGTGCATTGTGTGTGTTAGGAAGCGAATGTTTCACTGCACTGGTATGATTTTGCGATTGAGACAGCCCTTAAAATGTCCGACTCCCTGATCAGTGCCCAGACTTCTGAACTAGGGAGCTGATTGAGATGCACCCATTGTATCAAAATTGATGTTTCCTCGCTCCTCCGTCCTCAAGCCCATGACCTGGAAACTGATTGAATTCAGCCATCTTGAAGGCAGTGGCGGATGCAGAACGTGACAGATGTACAGATGTACAGATGTGTATGCCTGTATTGTACAACATATTGCCTTTCGGGGACATTAAAGTTTTCTAAGTCTAAGTCTAAGATGGGTGGGCCTGGATTAAGTCGAGGTGCACCTGAATCTATGGGTGTCCCAAAATCAAAGCAGTTGTCCCGAATCCAGGGCTGGGTTTTCCGAAACCTTCTTAACGCTTCGTCGTTCTTATGCAGGGGCGGCACCAGATAATTTTTAACGCAGGTGCTGAGTTGAAGGACATCTCAATTCTCTAATTGCACCACGAGGAGGCGAGGAACGAGGAGTGAGGAAGCTTCCTGAGGAGTCATGAGCAAGGATACACAGGTGTAGGGTTTGTTTCTATGGGTACCAATGTGTTCAGTGATTAGACACACCTCTTGTTCAGTTCCTTGTAATACCTGATTATTTTTAGCCCTCAGTTCTTTGTCTTGCATTATGCCACTGTTATGTTCTTAAGAGTTCTACTGTGTGAATTATATTAATTGTTTTGTGTTTATTAAAAAGAAGTATTGCAATCATGGGCGGCGCTAGGGAGGGGCTAGCAGGTGCTTCAGCACCCCCAAGAAAGACCAAAGCACCCCGATAGCACCCCCAAAAATAATGTCTGGAATCAATTATATTCAGGCTGTATTCTATGGAAGCCACATGGTGAAGAAAAAATAAAACGTATCTTGTTATTTCGAGATATTAAGTCGTTATTTCAATATAATATCTCGTTATTTCGACATAATAACAGGGGTTCTCTTACGAGAGGTTCTCTCGTATTGCGTAAGTTTAGCTTACGCTACGGGAAAGATTCATCTTCTCGAGATATTGAAGCCAAAAAATTATCCTTAATTTGGTATATGTTGTCAACGCAGTGCAGCAGCTAGCAGACCTAGAGCGGGCATTCTAACGCGCTCATAGGCTGCCCTGCGGGAACTGCACAGCCTACCAGTGAGCCCGACGTGACGTCACGTCCAATCGCCGCGTCCTAGCCCGCCAGAATGGGCGTGGCTTAGCGTATATAAGCGGGGCTCGGAGGCTGATTCTCTGATTTTCATCTCTTCAGCGAAGCTGCTTGCATCACTGGACCTTGAGAAGCCGCCGCCGTCGAACCAGCGACAAAGCCAGCTAGGACAGTGACTGAGGAAGCCGGCCGCCTTCGCCACCTTCAGCCTTCCGAAGCGAGCTACGCTATCCGGCGTTGTATCCTTTTTCTCATTGCAATCCGAGCATCTAAAAGAGCACGCCACGTTATATACACACATCTTCTATCTGCTCGCTCTGTCACACGGCCAAGCCGCGCGCTTCACATAAAGCCGCGCGCGCACCACAGTGCGCAGTCCCACATGAGCCACAATATAAACGTAAGTCTCGTGCCCGCTCACAAGCGCTCACGCTTACTAACACGCGCTTCGCCGGTGCTGTTTAACACACGCCACAAAGTGCAAGCTCATGCCGGTCAATCTATGGTTGTAAGTCACGCGTCCGCCCACGAGCGCCCGCGCTTACAAGCTTGCACGCCTCTCAAGGCGCCGCTCGCGCATCACAATGTGATCACAAAGCTCCCCCCATTTACAGTAATCGGGGAGCTGCATATGAAACAGCCCGTCGCTGTTTTCAGCGAGCCGCCCCATATAAGCACACACAGCGCGTGCGCTGCGCCCGCTCCTCCGGTTCAGTCTCTCGAGCCCGCACAGCGCGGTGACCAGAGCCCGGAGTCCATTCTACCCTTAGCTGCACATATAAAAGCATGGGAAAACATCCCAGGGGTATCGAAGTGGGTGCTAAGCACTATAAAGCAGGGTTATGCGTTACAGTTTGCTCGCCGTCCCCCTCGGTTTCGAGCGCGGACCGCGACGACAGTGAAAGCAGAATTTCTAGAGCCTATTTTCAGATTCAGATAATACCCCGTCACAGGCCATTCTTGAGATTCGCCTTCGACGATCGGGTTTATCAATACACCGTCCTGCCGTTCGGCCTGTCCCTAGCACCCCGTACTTTCACGAAGTGCATGGACGCGGCTCTCGCCCCCTTGAGAACTCAGGGTGTGCGAATTTTGAACTATCTGGACGATTGGTTGATTCTAGCACAGTCAGAGACAGAGCTATTATCTCACAGAACTGCGCTTCTCAGCCATCTGTAATGCCTAGGTCTCACGGTCAACTGGACCAAGAGCTCATTACTGCCCAGTCAGTCAATTTCCTTTTTAGGAATAGAACTGAACTCAGTGACCATGACGGCTCGCCTGTCTACACAGCGCGCGCGGGCAGCGTTTCCCTTCTGAAAAAATTCCAGAGGATGCTAGGTTTGATGGCTTCAGCCTCGGCGGTACTCCAGCTAGGTTTACTACGCATGCGCCCACTACAGCACTGGCTGGCCGCGCGCGTGCCACACCGAGCCTGGAGGTCGGGTCGCGAGCGGATCAGAGTGACTCAGAGCTGTATCACAGCTCTGCAAACCTGGTAAGCGGCCGACTGGTACCAGAGGGGAGTGACTATGGGGCGGTCTCATACAGGAAGGTCATCTCGACGGATGCGTCCAACGCAGGTTGGGGCGCCACCCTCGAGGGCAGACCAGTCTTCGGCCTGTGGTCAGACCAGGAAAAACTCCTCCATATAAACTGTCTGGAAATGATAGCGGTCGAGAACGCGCTGAAACGCTTCCTCCCGCTCATTCAGGACCACCATGTTCTAGTCCGTTCGGACAACATGTCTGTGGTGTCCTATTTAAATCGCCAGGGCGGCGTCAGATCCAGGAACCTCTGCAATCTGGCGGAACGCCTCCTCGTTTGGTCTCAGCACCATCTGCGCTCACTGAGAGCTGCACATGTGCCGGGTCACCTGAACGACGGCCCAGACAGACTGTCCAGGGACAACGTTCCCCCGGGAGAATGGTCCCTGCACCCCCAAACAGTCCAGTTATTATGGCGCCTTTTCGGCAAAGCGGAAGTCGACCTTTTTGCGTCACAAGACAACGCTCACTGCCCGACGTTCTTTTCGAAGGACAGGGACGCGCTTGCCCGGACGTTGCCCAGCCGTCCGCTATATGCATTTTCTCCTGTATCTCTGTTACCACAGGTGATCAAGAGAATCAGGGAAACGCGCCATTCAGTGCTCCTCATAGCCCCGCGTTGGGAGAACCAGACTTGGTTCCCAGAGCTAATGCGGCTGTCGCAGACAGCCCCGTGGCCTGTACCGCTGAGAGCAGACCTCCTCTCTCAAGCGCGCGGCTCAATCTGGTATCCCCACCCGGAGCGCTGGTCGCTACACGTGTGGGTGATCAACGGGTATCCCTGCCAGACGCAGTAATGAACACAATCTCGCAGTCTAGAGCACCTTCTACCAGAAGGCTCTACGCGTCCAAATGGTCTGTGTTCTCTAAGTGGTGCACTAGCAAAAACCTGGATCCACGAACGTGTGGGGTCCCGCGGCTGCTCAGTTTCCTTCAGGAGCTGCTGGATAGGGGCAGATCCCCCTCCACGCTCAAAGTCTATGTGGCGGCCGTCACAG